TGTGTGTGTGTGTGTGTGTGTGTGTGTGTGTGTGTGTGTGTGTGTGTGTGTGTGTTCATGTGCATGCGTGTGTGGCAGCAAGTGTGTGTGTGTGTGTTCACTCCCATGGAGGGTGAGGTCCAGGTAGCACCTGTGTGGGTCCAGCCCCTCACTGCCCTGCACCCTAGGCGACCCCATGACACCCTGTGGCGTCGCCCTGAGCCTCAGCGTCCCCTCCCTAACCTGAGGGGGTGGGTCCCATTCCTGCCCCCTTGCAGACTGGGGTGAGGCATATGGGAGACAATCAGATGTCAGACCCCAATCACTTGCAAGGAGCAGAACCCCTGCCCCTGTCTTGCGCCGGGCAGAGGCGGCCGGGGCTCCAGGCGGCTCCTGGCAATTCTGACACAAGTCCCAGGGAAGCCAGTCAAAGTGGCAATTTTTTTGTCCTACCTGTATGCTCCCCACGATGCTGGCTAGAATCTGCGAGACTCTAGCAGGAAGTGGCCTTGGATTTGGCCATGGGTATTGTGCCCAGTTATTTCAGGTTTAAGGAGGTCATCTGTCCTGGGGTTGTCCCGGGGGAGCCCTAGCAGCTGACCCACCCAGCACCTGGTGTGGGTGCATCTGGGAGCCTTGCTCGTGTGTTCGCGTGCGCATGTGTGCGCGTGCGCGTGTGCGCGTGCGCGTGTGCACTCACACGCACGGGGCCATGGACAGACCAGCAGCCCTTGGGCCTCACCGTTGCTCCCACAGGTTCTTCGCGGACCTGGAGCAGCGGCACAGGGCGCAGGTGTGCGTGGAGGACGTCAGTGACATCCTGGAGGAGCACGCCGAGCGGCGCTTCCACCCCTACGTCTCCTACTGCTCCAACGAGGTCTACCAGCAACGCGCCCTGCAGCGGCTGACGTGAGCCGGCCCGGGGCCCGGGGCGGGGCCGGCGGGGGTGGCCTCGGGAGGCTCCAGCCCCTTGCCGCAGGGCACGTTGCTGCTCGCACGCAGCCCGGCTTCTGCAGCTTGCGCCCAATTTCTCCTGACGGACTGGCCGCGCCTCCCGCCGCGGCTGAGAGCCCTTCTCTGTTGCAGAAGCGGCAGCGCTGCCTTCCGAGAGGCCCTGAGGGAGATCGAGCAACGGCCCGCGTGCGGGGGCCTGCCCATGATCTCCTTCCTGATCCTGCCCATGCAGAGGGTGACCCGGCTGCCCCTGCTGACGGACGTGAGTGCACAGGGAGGTGGCCGGGGCCCACCTGCAGGCAGAGGGAGCGTTGCCGCCTCCCGACCTGCTCCGCCTGCTCAGTCTGTTACGTATGGTTTTACGAGAACAGTTACAGGACGGCTTTAATGGCCACAGTGACCGTGGCCGCTGTCAGCAGCAACACCGCCCGTAGAGCTCCCTCTGCTGGGAGCTGCTCCAGCATTTGGTGGATTTTTTTCACCTGCTTGATGGTTACGGGGTTCATGCGTGTCCTGAGTCTGATCCGGTGTCGCCCAGACCCCTGCCAAGCATCAGTCAGGGTGGTTGCTTCCCCCTACCCTCGGCCAGTTGTCCTGGGCGTGGGCCTGGGGTGACCCAGGCACCATCACCGTCCCCGTTCTGTGGACAGAGGGGCTCCGAGGGGCTTCCTGGAGTGGCTTGTGCTCTGAGATGCCAGCTCATGGGGCAGAGGGCCTTGTGGGGTGAAAGGTACATGTACACACACATGTACACAAGATCCCGCACATGGCAGGAGCCCAGCTGAGCTCTGAGAGGCAGCATGTGGCCCGTGCTCGGCGGGTCAGCATCCCAGGCAGACAGGATATCAGACCCTCCGGGGCCCTCGGGGAAGTGGAGAAATAGAGGCTTCAGGGGCCTCCCAGGCTGGAGCACCACAGCCAAGAACTGAAGGGGTGGGGCCTGGGTGGCCACCGGGGTCTGGCGTTGGTAGGGGAGCCCCTGCCCCAGGCAGGCCCCTGAGCCGGGGTGCAGAAAGCTGCTTGTGGCTTCTCACGTCTGATCTCTTCCGGCAGACACTCTGCCTCAAGACTCAGGGCCACCCGGAGAGATACAAGGCCGCCAGCCGTGCGCTCAAGGCCATCAGCAAGGTGAGGGGTCCAGGGTGGGGGAGGCGGCGCCCAGCCCCGCCCCGCCCTGCCCAGCCCAGCCCCGCCCAGCCCCACCCCGCCCCGCGCAGCCCAGCCCCTTCGGCAGAGACCCTGAGGGCGGGGCAGAGAGGGTCTCCAGACGGTCCCTCCCAAGCTCCTCATGGTGCCGGTGGGGAAACTGAGGCTGAGAGAGAGGGCCGCTCACACAGTCGCTGAGCCCGGGGTGGGGCAGGGACCAGGACAGCCGTGAGGGCCGCTGCGGCGGGGGGCTGGGCTGGGCTGGACGGGGCGGGGGTGGGGTGCGGCGCCAGGCTGTGGGCCGGCCCTCAGCACCTGCTCTCGCGCGCTGTAGCTGGTGAGGCAGTGTAACGAGGGGGCCCACCGGATGGAGCGCATGGAGCAGATGTACACGCTGCACACACAGCTGGACTTCAGTAAGGTCAAGGTAGGCGGGCCCCACCGGCCCCGGCCTGTCCCCAGGCCCGGCTCTGTGTGCGGTCAGGGGTCACCGCCCCTCAGTGTGCAGGCTGGAGAGAGGCCTCTGGGGGTGACCCCCCAGCCCCCGCCGGTGAAGCCCGGGGCTGGGCCTCCGCCTTGACCTCTCCAGGCCTCTTCCCACCTGAGAGCGTGCCCCTTGGCCTCATGTCTCAGCTCCACCGCCCGCTTGCCTGCGGTGGGTCTGCAGCGGCAGAGGGCAGACCCCGGGGCCGGTGACGGGGAGCCAGCGGCAGGCCCAGCGGCAGGGCTCAGCCTGGGCCCGGGGTCCTCATCAGCTATGCTGGGTGCCGGGGCTAGACGACCTCAGGGCCGGCTCAGGCTTCCCTCTGGGGTCAGGATGGGTCTGTCGGTCCTGGGGGTGGGGGTCTAGGCAGCCTACAGCTCTGCCCAAGCAGGCAGAGCCCAGACCTCTGCCCACACGGCTCCCCCACCATCCCACAGACTAGCCCATCCTTGTGCTGTCCAGGGGCTGCCCCAGCAGCAACTCGGGCCGTCTAGCAAAGTGGGAGCCGCTCTCTGGAATTGGGGCCTGGAGGCAGCCTCTGCCCCGCCCCACTGCCCTGGCTCTCCCCTCCCCGCACTGGCCTGGCTGCAGCAGAGCCCTGTGGGCGTGCAGGTGGGCAGAAGACTTGGAGGGTACCCGGGGCAGCTCTGTGGGCCCGGTCTCAGCTTATCATCAATCAGGCTGAGCTGCTGACCTCTAGCCCCCAGAGGCGGGCCTGCCTGGAGCCCATGGGAACCAGTGCCGTGGGCGGGGCCGGAGGGCCGAGCAGGGAGGGCACAGAGGCTCCGACAAGGGCCGCGGGCTCCTTGGGGTGAGTCAGGGTGGCTTCACAGAGGAGGCGTTTGGGTGATGACGGCCACGGACCCACTGAGCCCACACCCTTGGCCGGGGTCTTGAGCCTCTCCTCGGCCGGGCAGCAGATGTCACGTTTGGGGTGAAATACACCCCTGACCAGAGCAAAGACCCAACCCTGGGCCTGGCTGACCCCTGAGCGGCCTCTCACCCCTCTACTCCCGTGTCTCAAAACTGGAGGGCATGAGGGCAGGAGAGCAGCTGGCCCAGGTGGGGGTGCGGGGGTTCAGAGCCCCAGGAGGGGTGAGGTGTCCAGTGGGGCATGTCGGGGGGCAGAGGCTGGTGAGCAGGGCCTCCTGGCTCCGTCCCCACCAAGCCTGCCCTGCCTGCCCCTCCCCTTCCAGCTTGACAGGCCAGAGCACCAGCCTTGCTGGCGGAAGGCTGTCTGAGCACCGGCCATGGCGACATGGGACCCATGTGGAGGGGGCCGGGGTGTCTGCCTTAGCCGGGCCTGTCCTCTAGGCCGCGGAAGGGGAGGGAGCTCCATTTGCAGCAAAGGCCCCTGGATGCCAGAGGTGGCCCCGCAGATCAGGGGTTCCTCACAGCCTGCATAGAAGCAGCTGGTCTGAGCCCCCTGCTTGGCGTGAGGTGGGCCAGGAGGCTTCCCCAGAGTATCCTTCGCCCCCTGGTTTGAGGGGAGCCCTCGGTAGGTGCCCTGTGGGCCCCTGGGCCTGGCTGGAAGCAGGGCAGGCCTGTCCTGGGTTGCTGTGAAGGGTCTGGGCCCAGGCCAGGCACAGAGCAGCCGCCCCCTGAGCTCCTGTCCTCGGCCTGAACAGCCCTTTGTCTGAGGCCTGGACAGTCACACTCCCTTCCTCGGCGCAGCCCAGAGAGGTCTGGTCACCCCGTTCCCAGAGGCAGGGCTCAGTCCCCATGGCTGCACATCCCTGCCACCCCCCCGGGACTCATCCCTGTCCCCGCTCTGCCCCCAGTCCCTCCCACTGATCTCTGCTTCCCGCTGGCTGCTGAAGCGCGGGGAGCTCTTCGTGGTGGAAGAAACCGGCCTTTTCCGAAAACTCTCCAGCCGGCCGACATGCTACCTGTTCCTGTTCAACGACGTCCTCGTGGTCACCAAGAAGAAGAGGTGGGCCCCTCCCGTGGTCGCCAGGCTGCATGGCCTTGCGACGGGGAGCAGGCAGCAGCCATGGCCTTGGAGCTGGGGAGGTGGGCTGGGGCCAGCTCTCGGGAGCATCCTTCCGGCTGGCTGGCCCTCGGGCTGCCCACAGACCTCTGCAGCATCTGGCCGACCGCCTGTCTCCCTACAGTGAGGACAGCTTCGTGGTCCAGGACTACGCCCAGCTGGACCACATCCAGGTCCAGAAGATGGAGCCCTCGGAGGCCTCTCTGCCAGGGGGCAGCAACCGCAGCTCCTTCGTGCCGCACACCTTCCAGCTGACCCTGCTGCACAACAGTGAGGGCCGCCAGGAGAAGATCCTGCTATCCTCCGACTCAGCGTAAGATGGGAGGGCTCCGTGGGGGCGATCCTGAGAGCTCCATGGGGACGGGATGCCTGATCCAGGGTTCCAGGCACTGCACTGTGCCAAGGACGGCCTACTCCTAAAGCAGTTCACACTCCCGGGAGGGGGACACGCCAACTGCAAAATGCACGGCTGAACTGTCCTGTGTGTCCAAGGGGAGAGGACTAAGGAGAAACAAGGTAGGGGAGGGAGCACTGGATGGGGGCCCTGGGGAGGGGCCTGCGGCAGAGGCACGGCAGTGCAAAGACCGTGAGGCAGGAGGCCCCTGCCAGGAGGACAGTGGGGCTGGAGCACAGGGCGGGGGCCATGCAGGGCAGTGAGAGCAGACAGTGGAGGGACCAGCACACAGAAAGGTGCTGGCTGGGTCTCCATGCTTCCTCCAGCACGGCCCCCTTTCCAGGTGGGAAGCTGAGGCTGAGCGTTTCTAACAGCAAACTGATGGGGCAGGGCGCTTGGGGTCCAGCGCCAGGAAGCAGGGCAGCCTGGGCCCTGTGAATGCAGCTGTTGCCCAACTTCATGTCCCTGGCCAGATGTGACTCGGGGTCAGCCTGCCTGGGGGAGGCCTGCCTGCCGCTCCTTCCCGAGCCTGTGACTTCCTGCACCTCGGCCCCCCAGCACAGTGGGTCAGGGAGACCAGAGGGGCCTCCCACTTACACCTCCAGCTCCCGGCCAGCTCACCAAAGTGTGCCCGGGCAGCGTAATCCTTCATCCCACTGCCTTCCCACCTCGAAGGCTGTGGGGGGCTCAGGGACACCCCGACCCTCCCACCGTGCCACACTGGGTGGGGAGTGTGAAGCAAAGGTCGTCAGCTGATAGGATCAGCCTCGGGCCTCGCTCACGTGCGCTCTGCCCCCAGGAGTGACCGCGCGCGGTGGATCACAGCACTCACGCGCTGGGAGAGGCAGCAGCAAGGCCCCACTAACAAAGGAGGTAAGCGCCTGCCCCCCGAACGCAGCAGGACTCACAACCCCTTCCCGGCCCTGGGGTGGGGGCTGGTCCTGAAGGGGAGAGGTGCTGTCCAGCCCTCTGTCCACCCCACAGCCTGCCCCCAGGGTGACCTGCCAGGTAAGGGGCCCCAGCCCCAGGTACGTGTGTGTCCATCTGCACACACAGGCCCAGCGCTGTCTCAGGGCCTCATCCATCCTGCTGCTCAGTAGATGGGGAAACTGAGGCCAAGGAGCTGGAGTGGGCTGGCCCATAGAGCTGTCACCCCGCTCGGGCCCTGCCTAGGCCCTTAGAAGCTGGGTGCACCCTCTGCTGGTGCTGGGCGTTTGGGCCCTGAAAGTGGGAGCAGCAGGTCCTGCAGCCTCTGGAGGGGTCCCAGCTTTAGCCGGAGGGAAGCTGCCGCGTGACCGTGTGCTGGGACACCTGGGGGCCCCTGGGTCCCACCGAGACCAAGCCACAGGGGGTGTGATGGGACTGGAGCCCACCCCCTCCCTGGAATAGTCCTGCTCCTGAGGCCTGCCCTCCCTGCCAGACCTGCTCCAGGTGGAGATCACCAAGGCCTACTTGGCCAAGCAGGCGGACGAGATCACACTGCAGCAGGCAGATGTGGTCCTGGTCCTGGAGCAAGAGGACGGTGAGCACAGGGGGATGGGCCTGGGGGATGCACGTGGGGCAGGTGGGAGGGGCCGGGCAGGCTGATGCTGAGTGGGAGCCTGGGGGCCCCAGCAAGGGTCCAGAGCACACTGGCATGGGCGGCTGCCGAGTGCCCCCACCCCGGAATTAGGCTTGTACTCAACAGTGGGCCTGATTCCAGGGTCCCCTTAAGTACCCTCCCTCAAGGACGTCTCAAATGTCCCCGAGTTGCAGGATCAGAAGTGGGTTCTTGGTCACTCTGTATCCTAAGCGGGAGGGTGGCTCCTGCAAGTACCTGCACAAGGATGGACCAAGCTGGTTGGAGTGAGCTCAGCCCCTGAGTCCAGTGTTGGGGCCGAGCACCTGATGGAAGACCAGGTGCCCACGTGACCTTGGGCAAGACGGGAAGGGGGGTCTGCTCCAAGGGATGCCTGGCCCCGGTGTCTTCTGGAACAGCAGCTCCGAAGGGGAGCCGACACGGGGGCCACTGCCTGGTGCCCAGGAGCCTGCTCTCACCTGCCCCGGGTCTGGGTCCAGGATGGTTCTACGGCGAGAGGCTGCGGGATGGAGAGACGGGCTGGTTCCCTGAGGACTTAGCCCGGAGCATCACCAGCCGCGTGGCCGTGGAGGGCAACATGCGCAGGATGGAGCGGCTGCGGGTGGAGACGGACGTGTAGCCGGATCTGCTGGCACCTCACCAGGCCAGGCTGCGGCCGTGCAGCTTTGGTCCACACTCCAGCAAGTAGAGTCCATCCCCAGGGAGCGCAGTGGGCTTGCCCCCAGGGCCTGAAAGCTCCCTGGCCTCCCAAGGCCCCATAGGCTGCAGCGTAGGCTCCGGACACTTCCAAGGAGGAAGGCCATACGCTCTCAGGGGAGCATCCTCCTGGCAAGCTCAGGAGCCATGCCAGCCCTCACCCCAGGCTGTGTCCATCCCTGGGAGGAGCCCAGCCAGGCCTGTTTGCTGGCCACGCCCTCCCCCAGCTCCTGGCTGCCCCGCCCTGCTCCCTGTGCACCCACAGGGGAGTTATGCCCTGGGCGTGTGATGGAGGCGGATGGCCCTGAGAAGAGCGTGGATGACCTGGGGGGCTCGCCCTCCTGCACCCCTCCTGCCCCAGCCTTGAGTACCCAGGGCTGCCCCATGTTCCCAGAGGAGGGCCAGCTGCCGGCAGGTGACCCTGCAGTGCCAGCACTGGAATTGTGACTTTGAGACATTAAAGTATTTCTTTAACATCTGGATTTGCACATTTGTGAGCCTCAGTGAAGGCCATACCAGTCCCTGAGAAATTCCCAACGTGCTATGGGCGGGGCTGGTACCCCGCTCTGTGTGGTCACCTGTGCTGGGCCCCCATTCATGGTTACCCTGTGTTAGTCCTTGGGCCTGCCCCATCTGTCCACCCGGAGCGTCATGGGCAAGGCCATCCCCATGAAGCCCCTTGAGGCTGAGCCTGGCCGGTGGGGCTGGGGGACTCAGGGACATGGCAGAGGCTGCGGGACCCCTCTGCGGTGTCCTCTCATCCCTCACCTCCCAGCTGGTCTGCTCCCCGAGGATCCCCTGGGACACACAGGTGGGGAGAGGCAGGCTGGCCTGGCCTCTGAGCTGGGGAAGGGTCCTGCTCCCCAGGAGAGGGTGATGGCCACCTGAGTGGCAGGGCGCTGCTGGGCCAGGCGTGAGGAGGACGGGTCTGCTCCCCCAGGAAGCCCCCTGCTAGCCCTCCCAATTTCCACACCCATGCCCGTTGCCCTTCTCGCTCAGGCAGTGCTGTCCTTGGGGTGGGGCTCCCAGCGTTCTCCTGACAATCTGCTGGGGTCTTCCTTTGAAAGCTGGGGTGTGGCTCCCCACCCGCTGACCAGAATTGGGTGACTGGGGGAGGCCAGCCCTCTGTCCCTTCCATCCCTGGGGCTGGCTGCAGGAGGAAGTGGAGGAATGCGCCGGGCCAGGGGGAGGGGACTGGGTGGGGGTGGAGCTTATCCCAGCCCCACCCACTGAACCAGGTGGTGGAGGGGTTCAGCACCAGAAGGGAGGGGCAGCTCCTCCCTTTAACATCCAAGGTGACCTCCCTGGCCTGGGGCAGCTGGAAGGAACATCCTGGGCGGGGGCTCTGCAGGGTGGAGGGATGGGGCGGGGCCAGGCTCAGTGAAAGAGGCATGATCTGGGGGGTGGGGTCACCAGAGATAAGGCCCAGCTCCTCCTATTTCCTGGACAGGTGGAAATCTGGGGCCTGCATTTTCCCACCTGTGAGCTAAGTCCTGCTCTTTTCCTGGAGCTGCTGTGGGGCAAGCTAGTGACCAGGGTGAGGTGCAGGTGTGTGTGTGTGTGTGTGCACGTGTGTGCGTGCCCTGGGCAGAAGCAGGTGGGCAGCATCGGTGTGTAAGCCCAGCTGCCTGCAGCTGGCCTATTCCTTCTCACCACTGACCCCTGACTCTCGGGGAGGGCAGGCCAGCCCACCGCCCATCGGTTGCCAGGTACGTTTTCAGTTAATTGGAAAAGCCCTGGGCCACGTCCTTGCTCTAGTGACCTGGGGTCAGTGACCTTAGCTCAGTTTCCTTCTGCAAAGTGGATGCAGGCCCTCTACCTCGGAGGCAGAGATTAAGAATGCTTAGCCTGGAGGAAGGACATCCCGGGACCCTGGGGAGGGGCCGTCAATGGAGACGGGGCTGCTGGTGGCTGGGTCCACCTGGGGAGGCCCAGACCAGGCCAGCTCGGGACAAAAACCCTCCCAGCAGAATCGGGAAGCCCAGGGCCCCAGCTGCGGTGAGGCCTGGAGGGGCCTAGAAGGGTGGGTTGTGGGCAGTGAGAGGAAAGCCCCAGCACCTGTGCCTGCTGGGGCCCCTCAGAGGGGCCTCTCTGCTCAGCTTGGGGTCCAGCCCTGCGGGCCCTGGTGTCATGATCCCATCATCATGACCCCCTCCCAGGGCAGGGCCAGCCGGGACCCTCCCCACCCCCAGCTGGAGGGTGCTCGGACCTGCCTCCTTGCCGAGCTGCTCCTCTTAGACGTCCTTGGTGTTGGTGCCTAGTGACACTCCCCGCTCCAGATAACAGGGGGTCCCATGGAGGAGCCTGTCACACCTGCTCCCCTGGGGAGGGGGTGACACCAGGAATGGACCTAGCCCGGCCCCTCCTGTTACAAAGTGGGAAAATAGAGGCCCAAGGGCCCTCTGCCTACTGGTGGGGTCAGCGGGTTTGAGGGGGGCCACTGAGGCTTCCTAGGACCCCAGCCGACTCCAGCAAAGCCTACATCCAGACGGGGTCCAGTGGGAACGACACTGTGGTGTCCCAGCCCTTCCACAGGGGCCTCTCGCCTCAGGGCACCAGGGTGGATATGACTGTGGAGCAGTGAGGAGTGGGGGCTTGTGCCCCTTCCCCAGAGCTCCCTGGGCACCTCAGTGCCCAGCCCCGAGGGGCAGTGGGCACCCTCCACCCTCCCTGGAGAGGTGGGAGTCCAAGGGGTGTGGCTCGCGAGAGCGCAGAGGCCAGGGGTGGGCGGTCACACAGCTGGATGGCCCCCCAGCCCTCTGTTGGGGGAGCATCAGAGGCCGAGCTGAGCTCATCACCCCAGGGCCTGGAGGCCCCCCTCCCATGTGCTGCATGTTCTTGTAAATCAGTTTCCCCTCTATGGAGAGGGGGACATAATTTACATAAAGGGTGTATGTTCCCATGACCTCATTCTCACCGCACTCAACATGAGTTTTAGGATCCCTCTGCACATCTGGCTGCTCCCAACCTCTAGGGAACATCCCTGACGGGTCCCTCCTGCTGGGAGACCCCCTCCCCCGCCCGCCCTCCATCGGCCCTGGTGGCCAGCACAGGCACTGCGGCCCAGCCCTCGGCCTACACTGCATCCAAAGGCCCCTAGGCCCCTGGGACCCAACGGACCCCAATCCCCAGGCCTCACATAGAGCCCTTGGACCGCCGTTTCTGCCCCTTGGGAGCAACGCTGTGCACCAGTTTGGACGTGCAGATCCCGCCTCTCCATCCACACCCCTGCGAGCCCTTGGGTTTCGCTGAACCCCACTCATCCCCTCCCGGCTCTCTGTTATTTGTCAGCATTCCTGACATTGGGCCCCAAGCCGCGCCCCCCCAGTGGTCACCCATCTACCCCGTCACTGGAACCAAGTCCATTTGAGGGCTGGCCGGGGCTGGCCCTTAAGATCTGAAACTGTGAAGGGCTTCACCCATCTTCTCGCCAGATAAATTCCGGTATTTCCGGGGTTTGTTGCCATGCTGAACAGGATCTTATTTTGTATTCTGTTTTCTAGTGGGTCATTGGCAGTATTTTAGAACTACAGATTTTTATAGGTTTTATACATTTCCTATCGTCTATATGATTTTATGGCCCACTTTGCCAAATTCTTATGATTGTGCTAATCTGTCTCTGGCCCTCTCAGCTTTCCTAAAGCGACAGGCTGGTCTGTCCCTTCCCCGCAGGTCTGAACACCTCTTACTTCTTTTGCTCACCTGATGGTATGGCCTGGGGTCCTCCAAGCTCTGCTGGGGTCAGGAGGAGTGAGTGACGATCTGATTCTCCATCTTTAAGGGAATTTGTTCATTCTTCCCACGAGGTTTACAGGGCCCAACCCAGGTCCTATCCAGGTGGCCCAGCATGACGCAAGCTGATCCCATGCCCCCAGTTCTAATGTGGAAGGACAGCCAGAAATACAGGCTGTCACATCAGGGCTGAGGAGACCAGCAACGCGGGGTAGGGGAGGCAGGAGCCCAGGTGGGGGGGCGAGGAGGCCTGGGCCGCTTGCTGGACTCCATCT